AGCCATTCCACAGCCATTCCTGTGCTGGCTGGGGAATTCTGGGAGTTGAAGTCCACGCATCTTAACGTCCCCACAGTTGAGAAACACTCATAGAAAGTCCTCTTGAAAAAAACGAAAATCTTCCCACCCGCCTGCCTGCTTTAAAATAAGTTTAAAAGCCAGTGCCTGTTTACCAGATGGTATTTTTGACTATCGGATCCTTCCCCAGGATCTAGGATCGCTAAAGGTACCGCCATAACATCCACGTTATTCCAAGGCGCACGACTTTTTGTAACTGACGTCTTGAGGTGGCGTCCGTTCCTCTTGCGTCCAAGGGCTGTTCCCGACCTCTCGAGATGGCACCAAGCGACCGCTATTGGACCCACTATGATTTCCTTTGTCCACATTCACTCAATTTTTATTTGGACGTCTTTATGTTTCCCTAGTTTTTTCTAGTTTTTTTTTTTTAACTGACCCTGCTAAATCCAGCGACTGCAATAAGATGGTGGTGATTTATACGCCCCTGTTTATATAAACTCGAGGCCGATTGCACTCATTTTAAAAACACACAACATAAAAGCGAACAGTAGCATCAATGCAATGAAAATAAACGCCCCACACATCTGTACTGTAGATCTTTGGGTGTGGGGCCATGCCAATCGTCTCTGTACCATCCCAGTGTTTGCATGGGGGCTCTCAAACCGGCTGTACCCTCAGCTGTTTGTCTTTCCCATCTTGTCTGTCTGCTGCAGCAATGAAGGCAGGAACCAAGGAGGCCAGAGTCACACCTCAAAACTGGGGTGAGGTGGGGTACATGTGAGGAAGCAAAGATGGCACCCAGGAGCTTTTTGAATGCCTCAAAGGTCATGCAAGACCTCGTTAATATTTGATTATCCTAGGTGAAGATGAGTTTCAAGAACTCAAGAAACATCTCAGATGTTTGCGGGGTTTCTTTCATGGAAGAGTTCCTTGCAAGGCAGTGTTGTGCCCTTGCAAAACCTGACCAGTGCGTAGGAAACAGGCAAGGTGGGGACCCTGATCTGGGGGTCCTGAGAGCGTGGTTCTGCAGCGGCTGGGCTTCTGGGTCTCGTCGTCGTGCTCCAGGTGGGCTGGCTCTCGGCGGTTCCACACCAAAACCAGCAACTTCCAAATCCCCAGCTGCTCTTTCAGGCCCTTGTCAGAAAGACCAGGCTGCCTGGGGAATTAATAAAGTGAGTGGGGAATGTGTAAAGAACAAGGGAACGCCAGAAACATCCAAGCTCAAACAAGAGAAGCTTCATTATGTCACAGGATTTCTGGCAGGAGCGTGCCTACCTGTGAAGTTATGGGGTCACAGTCCCAAAATAACCGCCAGATGTGTCGTAGATTACAACTTACTCATCTCTCAGTCAGCCTGGCCCAGGATGACGTTGTTTATCCCACAGGCTAGGCTACCTTGCCCTGCAGACTATGTTTGGACTCCTGATTTGGGGTCTCCCCCCCAGAAATCGCATTCCCCAAGGAGAGGTGCAGTCTGGCCCAAGGAGAGCCACCCCCACTAACCCTGATGGAGCACGGCCACTGAGGTTTTTATTTTTGAAACGATGGGAATTGCTTGGCAGAAGCGAAACGGCTCGTTCAGCCCAGCCCTGCAACTGCTGATAAGCGTAAGACCCGGGTGGGTTTTGTTTCCTCTGCTGAGTGTGTACGAAGAAGCAGGTTTTATGTGAAAAGCAATGAAGCCACTAAACGAGCATTTCTCAACCTTGGCAACTTTAGGATAGGTGGACTTCAACTCCCAGAACTCCCCAGCCAGCTGGGAATTGAAGTCCACCTATCATAAAGTTGCCAAGGTTGAGAAACACTGCACTAAGCTGATTTTGTGTGATAAACAGAAAAGAAGGTCATTGCGGGTCCCCTCGGTCTACAATTTTGGCATTAGCTTTCTCCAACCTGCTGCCTTCCTGACTGCAGGCCCCATAATTCCAGTGGCACATTGGCTGGGGATGACGGAAGCTGTAGTCCAAAGGCCAGTCTGGGTAAAACTGTGCCTTGCAAGAGATGCTGGGGCTAGATGTTCTGGCTTGTAGAACTGAGACGTTGCCCTTCGAGAAAACCAAGAAGATATGCTGGCTTTCTACGAGCAGAGAATTTTACAGGGGATGAGCGCCTCACCATGCTTGGCAGCCTTGTATCCCAAATCCAAGTTTACCAGCTCAGTGGAAACTTGGCCCAAGGGGGCGTCTCTTTTTCCAGGCTGTTTCTTTCCTCTTGCAATAAAAGCAGAGCTCCCTTGCTCCAAACGCAAGGCCCCGAGGGACAGGCTTCTCTGCAAAGCAGCCTTTGAGTCCTTTGCTGGGACTGCAGGCCCTAGAATTCCCAGCGGGCATGGCTTTTGCCCCAGCGCATCTGGAAGTTGCTAGTTGGGGAAAGCCCTTGATAAACAACTGAAATGTCAGATGGCTTCCTGTCTCTGGCGTTTCGTCCCTGCCATGAATCACGGAAAAGATGCTTCCATGTTGTGCCATCTGTAGCTGCTCGCTCCCAGCAGAGAAAGTCCTTTGTCTCGCCATCAGAGCAAGGAACGATCTGGTTCCCGGTAGCCCAGGATAACTTATCAGCTTCCCTCATTTACTAATTGGGGAGGGGGCAGGAGTAGGTCACTGCTGGTGAGCAACCCCCAAAGGTCTTGTTTCCTTCTACTTCTCCTTGGTCTTCTGTGTCCTACGCTAAGAAGCCTGGTCCTTGGTTTTCATGATGATGGAGAAGCAGGGAGGAGAAGGGAGGGGAGAGACAAGGCTCCACAAAGCTGCCTCCCCAGAGCAATCAAGATTAAGCAGGAAATGAAATGGCGCCAGTTGGGAAGATGAGGCGCGCAACTCAAGACGTCGGAGGCACCAGCCATTAAGGACCGCAGCCTTGGAGCAGATGGCATCTAGGCGACTTTTGATGGGCAATTTTCAAAAAGCTTAAGAGCCTGCCTTCAGGAGACACAGAAGGCAGATGTTCTGGCCAGGCAAATGTGTTCGATAACGAACCCCAAATTTCATTCAGCTGAAATTGAGATGGTGTTTCCAAGCCACCAGCGATTTCCACCCTGAGCCACGTCGGCTGCCTTTCTGGGCCAAAGAGACGTTGATGGCTGCCGCGTGCTTAATGAGGCTGCAGATAAGAGTAATTGAAGAGGGTGCTCCTTTTAGGCTAGTTCAAGTACACGTACACAATCAAGTTTGGGGGATCTATATGGCATGGAAAGAGTGTGGGGAAATCTTTGCCAGTTATTCATAAAACTAACGGAAATTACTGGATTCTCAGAACAAACCCTAAAACCGGGTGGGTGAACCACACTGGCTGTGCCTACAGGATAGGTTATCTCTAAACCAGTAAACCAGACGCTAGATCAGTGTTTCTCAACTGCAACTTTAAGAACTGCCTGTTCACTCTCTCCTAGCCTCCAGTTAAGCTTAGCATCTCCAGAAACTCACAAGAGACCTGCCATGGTGGGCTTCCACGCCAGTTTGGATCAGTGGAAGCTTTCAGAGGCAGGTCTCTTCCCAGCGTTGCGTGGGAATTGACTAGGGAGGTCTGCAGTGTGGGATCAAAACCCTCTAGGGGAAGGCCACAAAGATGTGGTCAAGATGCACATAAACAACAGGCAGAGCCCTGGTAGTGGTCTCATGGCCAGTGTCTTCACTTCTTTGGCAGTACCGTGCAGACACCCTTGGAGCTGACCTGGGATTTTTTGGCCTGCCGCACAGCTGGTGGTCCTTTCTCTCTGCAGCTTGAATTCCCAGCGCTGAAAGGGTGCCTAAGTGGGACGTATTCCCTAGCTATAAAGTTCTGATTATTTTACTTTATCCGGGGGTGGGACGGGCCTATTTGGACATATTTCATATGAAGTTTTCCCCAGGAGGCTGCCCACTTCCACAGATGGGCATCTAACTAGGCTTCCTGATTCTCCCACTTGCAATCTGATGCTTGGCAGTTGGATGTGCTTGGGGGGGGGCGGGGGGGGGATTGTGGTCCCTTTGGAAGAATTGCTGCTCGCCTTAAATATCTTCCAGCTGGTTTATCAGATGCATGTCATTTCATCAGCAAGGGAGGGGAGTGAGAGGAAAACAAATTTTT